GAAAGATCGTGAGCCGTGGTGTTTGCTCTGGATAAGGTCTGGCTTAAACTGTTTATCGTAAAGCCATACTGGCTTGGCCATGACTTAAAGCTTGTGCATAGCAAACCACCACTCTTGTCTCTTTGGCCCAAGGAAATCGGACAACCACCGAGAGGGCTAAGCTGTGTATCTCTTATTACCTCACTGGTGTTACTGGATTTTCCTGTCGTCTTTTCGAGTGTTGAGTGCTCTCTTGCCTTGCGTGTTGCTTCGCGGAGTAGCTGACGATCGGACCAAGAGAACGTGGACGACGACAAGGACTGCGGAAAGGAGCCAACGCAGGAGGAGGTAACCCCGCTAATGGAACACCAACAAATGGAGAATTGAACCACTACTACCTCTACATCGCAGGTGTCATGGCAGCACCCTCTTTTAGAGAATCCTATTAGACATTTTATAATATCTAGAACTGCTAGCGCTTTATAAATTATTCCTTTGCTAGTACTTTGATGCATGCTACTACCTGAGCCATTATTACCCTGATGCAACCCACTCTACCACGTCACCCTGCCTTGCGCATTCGCTCGCTTATATATGCTTACTTGCCTGTTTGCTTGCATATTACACCACTATACTTATTATTAACTCCACTTCGCATTATGTCGAGGATGTGATGCTGGTGGTGAACCCCCTGGGAATGGTTTGGCTGTGGGTGCCGGACTTGGTGGTGTGTGAGCGTGCTGCGTGTGTCTTGGGTGCGTGGAGAGTGAGGGTTGTGTCGACCGAGCTGGAATAACGACGAGCCTAGGGCGAGTCTTGCCATGTGGTGCTACCTGGGCACTTGGATATGGAATACCTGTGGCGGGTAAATGGTAATTGGAGGTGGCCTTAGGTGTGAACCTCGAAGAGGTGGAGCCCAGGGTGGAGGTGTTGTGGTGGCACGTAAAATGGAAACCTTGATAAAGACATTCTGGCTTGGTCAATCCCTAAGGACTTACTAGTACTCAGATTCACCGGGAATCATTTACATCCCACTCACCCTATATGGTGCGGGACGGTCGGACTACTTGGTAGAACGATGCCACTACTGCTAGGCGAACGTGTGCAAGGAGGTATGGGGCGCGCGGTTTCCCCCACACCCTTCCGAGACTTCAGGAAGCCTTGTGGACCGGCTCTTGACATCCGGTGGGCCCCGGCTCTGTCTACGACTCACAGTATCAGCCATCCCAGACTAGACTTGGGATGTTCCAGGGCTGAGAGGTAGGGTGGCATCGTTCTAGGCTAGCAAGCGGCCGGAATCTGCCTAGACGGGGCACCGTCGAGGATGGCCATCTTGTGGGTATGTAAAACCTCTGAATAGTGTATGGTTGATCGATCGATACATATGCCGACTTGTCGGCTATGGATCTTTCCTGGGTTTCGCTTAAACTAGATAGGAGATGAGTCCTTCTATCCTCCCTCTAGGGTTGGGGTATTTTCCGGTCGTGAGCCTTGGGGCTGCGGGCCGTTGAGACAAGGCCGAGAGGGAGTTGGCCTGTCGACCTGAGTGTGTGAGATGAGATAAGGTGTGGTGGTGTGGAGATGGTTTGGGATGGATGGTTGGTGGATGGATATGGATGGATGTCGATGTGTGGTTGGGAATGTGCTAAAAACTGGACATTATTCTTACATTATTACTGTTACTTACTTCTCATGCGCTAAGGATGCAAACCACAGCCAAATGTTAGGATCGCCAGATCCTCTTGTTTTATCTTTTCCACCAAAGCTCATCGGTGCTGACCATGGCCTGCACACATCCGGCGGTGTGCAGATTTCCTGCTTCTCAGAGATGCTGACTATAGAAGGATTAGGAGGTCTCGTGCCTACGCTCAAGTTTGGTTCGGAGATGGAATCTACGCTGCACTACGCCAACTCTGATGACGACCCGTGAAGGAGAAGCCTTCACTCGATAGTCTTCCGCTAGATTAACTCTGTAATAGGTGTGTTCCCCAGTGATGTAATATCTTGCGATGTATGACTGTGATATCGACTGCTATATGATAATATGATGGAATCAACTATTGGTTTCATCATATTATAATTCATTCTGTGGATATTTCCTTCGCGGAAAATTGAGGATGTTTCAACTACTCCGTGCCGTACAGCCCGCAGCAGAACGGCGTCGTCGAGCGGCGCAACCAGACGGTTGTGGGGATGGCTCAGGCCCTTCTCAAGCAGAGGGGGATGCCGGCTGTCTTCTGGGGAGAGGCGGTGGTGTCGGCCGTCTACATCCTCAACCGCTCGCCTACCAAGGCGCTCGACAGCAGGACGCCGTACGAGGCTTGGCATGGGCACAAGCCGGCGGTCTCCCACTTGCGGGTCTTCGGATGCCTCGCGTTCGCCAAGGAGCTTGGCCACATCAGCAAGCTCGACGACAGGAGCACTCCGGGAGTGTTCATCGGCTACGCGGAGAGCTCGAAGGCCTACCGCATCCTCGACCCGAAGATACAACGTGTGCGCACGGCGCGCGATGTTGTGTTCAACGAAGGGCGGGGATGGGCGTGGGGCAAGGCGGTGGACGACGGCTCGGCTCCGACGTACGATGACTTCACTGTCGAGTACGTCCACTTCGAGGGAGTTGGGGGAGTAGGCAGCTCTTCTTCGACGAGCGCGTCTACCCCAGTCCCCGAGCCTCCACCGACCCCGGCGCCTGCTACTACGACAGCACCACGCTCTCCAGCCAGGACCTCGGCTGCGATGAGTTCTTCGCCGGCTCCACCACAGCCGGCACCGCCACGCACTCCAGCACCGACAGGCACCTCTCCGGGCACGTCTACTCCAACACCAGCTCGTGTCGAGCACAGCCCGGTTGAGCTCGCTACTCCGCTCTCTCAAGACGAGGAGCGCATCGACGCGTACCACGACGGCGAGCCGTTGCGGTACCGTACGATGGAGAACCTTCTCGGCGACCAGCCGGTGCCGGGACTGGTGCCTCATGACCTGAAGGCGCAGTTGCACCTTGCGTGTGACAACGGCGAGCCTCGGTCGTTTGCAGAGGCCGAGAGACACGCGGCATGGCGCGCCGCGATGCAGTTGGAGATGGATGCGGTTGACCGCACCTGGGAGCTTGCTGACCTTCCCCGTGGTCACCGCGCGATCACCCTTAAGTGGGTGTACAAGCTGAAGAGGGATGAAGCCGGCGCCATCGTTAAGCACAAGGCTCGCTTGGTGGCACGAGGTTTCGTGCAGCAGGAGGGGGTCGACTTCGACGACGCCTTTGCTCCCGTGGCACGGATGGAGTCCGTGCGACTCCTTGCGCTAGCTGCCCAGGAGGGCTGGCGTGTTCATCACATGGACGTCAAGTCGGCGTTCCTTAACGGCGACTTGAAGGAGGAGGTCTACGTGCACCAGCCGCCGGGATTTGCGATCCCCGGCAAGGAGGGCAAGGTGCTCCGCCTGCGCAAGGCCCTCTATGGCTTGCGACAGGCATCGAGGGCGTGGAATGCCAAGTTGGATTTCACACTAAAGGGGATGGGCTTCGAGCAAAGCCCGCACGAGGCGGCCATCTACCGACGGGGCAGTGGAGGAAATGCCCTGCTGGTGGGTGTCTACGTCGACGACTTGGTGATCACCGGCACCAAGGATGCGGAGGTGGCAGCATTCAAGGAAGAGATGAAAGCCACCTTTCAGATGAGTGACCTGGGGCCTCTCTCCTTCTACCTGGGAATCGAGGTGCACCAGGATGACTCCGGGATCACGCTTCGACAGACCACCTACGCCAAGCGCGTCGTTGAGCTAGCTGAGCTCACCGACTGCAACCCAGCTCTCACTCCGATGGAGGAGAGGCTGAAGCTAAGCCGCGACAGCACGACGGAGGAGGTGGACGCTACGCAGTACCGGCGTCTTGTGGGGAGCCTTCGCTACCTCACCCATACATGGCTGGACTTGGCATTCTCCGTCGGGTACGTTAGTCGGTTCATGCAGCGACCGACGACGGAGCACCAGCAGGCTGTGAAGAGGATCATCCGCTACGTTGCGGGGACTCTCGACCACGGCCTCTACTACCCTAGGTGGCCTGGGGCGGCGCACTTCGTCGGGTACAGCGACAGCGACCACGCCGACGACATCGACACCAGCAAGAGCACGAGCGGGATCCTCTTCCTCCTCGGCAAGTGTCTCGTTAGCTGGCAGTCGGTCAAGCAGCAGGTGGTGGCCCTGTCTAGCTGCGCGGCCGAATACATAGCGGCCTCCACCGCTTCGATTCAGGCGCTCTGGCTCGCTCGACTGCTTGGTGATCTCCTCGGCAGAGACACTAGAGCGGTGGAGCTCAGGATGGACAACAAGTCTGCTCTGGCCCTGGCAAAGAACCCCGTTTTCCATGAACGGAGTAAGCACATCCGGGTGAGGTACCACTTCATCCGAGGCTATTTGGAGGAAGGGAGCATCAAGGCGAGCTACATCAACACCAAGGACCAGCTTGCGGACCTGCTTACCAAGCCTCTTGGGAGGATCAAGTTCCTTGAGCTCTGCTCCAGGACCGGGATGGTTCAACCTTCCCACAAGACGACGCACAAGACTTAGGGGGAGAATGATGGATAAGTCTCTATGTTGGCTGGTTTTTGTGAGGCTGGTGGTCTTGCTACCCATCAAGGACAGTATCCTTGACTGGCTAGGACAACATCTTAACATCTAGGACTAGCATCTAGGACAGCATCTAGGACAGCATCTAGGACTAGCATCTTGGCATATGCTTGACTGGCTAGCAGCCTATAAATATGTATCCCCAACCCCTCAGGTTGGTATGGCATTTGTGTGAGAAATAAACCAGAAAATTGCTCCAACTCCTAGTGTCATCCTCTCTCGATGAGAGTAAGAATTCTGCTACTACCAAGAGTAAGAATTCAGCGACTAACATACAAGGCCCTCGTGCTATGTTTAGTAACGTTGTGGAATGGAAAGACAAGTTGTTTGCCACAAGATCATTTGATTTCACATTATTATTGTCCATTTTATCCAGATTTAGTTGTGAAAAGGTAAAATACCTGTCAAGATTGTTTGAATGTCCATTTCGTACTCAGCACTTCGATCTCCGAGCACAAAATGCTCACGGAGCTGAAACGTAGATAGGCTAAGATGAATACACATTAGGAAAAGAAGAATTATGATCAACAAGCATCACTTTTACTTCAGAAATGAATTGCAATATGTAACATACTGTATCATCTCGCATCTTCCAAAGCAATTGCAGTGTCGCATACTTCTGAACATCCATGTTACCTGTAATGCCACCTGAAATGCAATTTGAAGTACACAGATTAAGATTTGGGAGCATAAATATGGAAGTAATCAATAATAGGAAAAGAAATTTCTTTTTTCTTGGATAGGATTGTCCTTACCAGAATTTTCAGTGACTTTCTCCTTTTGGCTTTTCAAGGCATGGTCGTTAATTACATCTGGTGTCTGAAAGATAATTAATTCTTTAAGTTGAAGTTTAACACATAAAATGCATATATTAATTATTATTGAACTAGAAACATCAGCCTGATTTCAGTGCATCTTTTTCTAAGCTCATACAGAGTTCTTTACCAGAATGATATCTTGGGGCACATTTCTACTTTTAGAGTTCTCTGTTCTGTTCTTGTCCATTTGGACACCTGAAATTAAGTGACTTTATCATAATGATGAGGAGAAACAACAATGGATCAGTAAAATCGAAGTAGTGAAGTACTATAAGATTGATAGACTCACTGGCTTGTAAGTCTTTTGTGGGGCTCTGACCACCCCCATGCTCTGCGTAGGTAGCAACTTTAGTCTTGAAGGCTTCAGACTTTCTTTTGCAGTTTGTGTTGCTGTCTTTTCTGTTTTTGCTGGTGCTGCAGTCGTTGGTGCCACTAGCACCAATTGCTTTTACTACCTGCTTATTTTTCTTTGGAGTTGAAATGTCTGTGGTTATTTTTTTCATTTTAGACTTGCTATTACTATTAGCTTCTTGTTCCTTCAAACTTTCATCTATTTCAGAGAGGGATGAAGATTTCCCATTTTGAAATACCCGCTCCTTTGGTGCACTCAGTGAAGAACCCAAAGGCTAGTGCCTGCAACATGTCAAGAGTAATCTTTCGTCATTAACCTAAAAAAGTTGTAAGAAGACACACTTTGTTATCAATGGTTTCATGCATAATCAGCTGAAATAAATCTTTATGTATACCTGTTCAGGACGTTTAACAAGACCTCCTTATATGGCAGTAAATGATAGCATTCAACAACAGATGTCGTTGTTGGGTACGGACCACTTTCAAATATAGGACCACTCATCCTGTTAGAGGAAAGGAAGAAATACAATAGGGACAACTTTTATAAATTATTACTACGATTGAAAATTACGTATTAACACTAAGAAAAGCAACTCATTTAGGAGGGACAATCAGCAAGCATTATATCATATACACATGAAACAGTATCTTGAAAAGGGTGGAAAGAGCTTTAGCAATGTAACCATTGCTGACATTAATCTAAGATATGGTATGCAGTACATACTGTACTTATTTGACTAGGTCTGCAACGTGTAATGGTACAAAGTAGGCACAGTGGAAAAGCAAACCTTTCGATCAGGGCATCTAAAGGCATTTCCTTAAGCTTGCTATCGACAGTCTGATCATAATGCAGAAGGAACAACATGGTAGCTGTCCCTTTCTTACTCAGTGAGTACACCCGATGTTCTTCGATAAAACGCAAATTTGTACGCTTCATACCTATTAAAACAAAAGTGTGTGAGACATACCTATTAAGACATAAAAAAGATAGGTACACAAGCATAAAATTTGCAGAATCAATAAAATCAAGCACACAATTCCGCTTCCGAAGCAACTTGTGTATCGAACACACAAACAGGTGTAATTTTGAAAAGAACATTGATTACTATCAGCTCATGTACACAATCTAAGTTACTATAGGACGCGATTGGTTGGCTTCCTGGCTGAGCTTGGCTCGCTCTAGCCATCCAGGACCTCAGTATCCATTTTGGATGCTTGCAGGAGGGTTATGTTTGGTTGCTCGCGCGAAACCACCTTTTTTTTCCCACACGAGGCAACCCCATTTCTATTATGGGAGCAGCTAACGCATGGCCAGCCGTGTGTTAGGCCAGCCGCACAGCCGCTCTGATTTTGGCCTGCGCCCTCTTCGCCTCTGCCAGTCTTCCTCCTTGCCCCCTGCCAGCAGCTCCCTCGACCCCGCCCTCCTCCTCGCCCTCGCCCCCACCGCCCTGCTGCAGCGCGCTAGGGTTTCGCCGGAACTCCGTGGCCGCGAATTTTCATGTGGAAGCAAACCTTCGAACTTTCAATTTTGAAGGCAAGCTATATTGGTTTGTTATCTTGTTATAGATAATTGAGCAATAGATTAACCTATTCAAACTCTGGGTGCCATACAAAATGTCCCTGATGAAAATCATATTTCAATTTTTGAGCAAAATCATATAAAAAATGACATCTCTGATGATTTTAAAAGACAGGCTTCATAAGGACATGGTCAGAGATTCAGAACAAAAGAAATAGAATCCATGAAACTAAGCCTACAGGCTACATGGTCAGAGTATTAGTCTTGGCTGAATTCAAGTCCCAGAAATCAAGTCTCCCCGTCTTAGCTTTCTTTGACATATTTTCAAATTTCATAGTGATTGGATTCCTAAACTGTAGCACTGGCAATATTATGTAAGAATGAATAAAATTTACTTGTAAGCATTTCCTCCTCACTTTTGAATTCACCCAAACACATTGCCCCACCATTAATCTTTTCACACAAAACATGGATGCAAACATAAGGACATGAACGCTGCTGCCATGTGAGCCTCCCTTATTTTCATGTCACTTCGTCTCCACGGCCGTCCACCGCCAGTTACTACTGGCCACCTCCTGGTGGATTAGTGGCTGCTATGCCTGGGCAATCAGGTCGACCAAGAAAAAACTATTCAGTGAACTCACACTTCTGGATTCATCCGGCGTCATATCGGCAGGAAATAGTTAGCTTATCATGTATAAACAGAGTCGGGAAATTGTTCTTTTGCCTTCTGTTCTATTCCTGAGTTTCCATGCTGCATGACTGCTACTGCTAACTAGAAAGTGGAATGGAAAAACTGAATTTAAAAAAGATCATGTTGCATTGTTAAAATTAAATCAAGCATCAATCGTCCAATTTAATGACTGGTGCCATATTTCTTAGTTGTTGGTTGCCATCTTTGATGTCCTGATGTTTGTCACAGAAGTTCCCATTTAATTTTTAAAGACCACATACCAATAATTGGCAGCAAGCTGCAAGCATTGCATAATGCAGACTGAGTTACAGTTTGGCTTGGTAAAGTATTGCAAAATGTCATTGTGCATAGTTTCTGCATATTGTCATTCACGCTTCTCGCTGGGCACTTAATTATATTTTTGCTCTTTAATTACTGTTAGCTTGCCACAAATATGGAACTAAAGTATTTTACTTCCTCAAATTACATCATGCTGGTTTCAGTTCTTAGGTTGATTTGTCCAAATTAGCAGTGTATTATGGGAACAAAAGACATATGGATGGTCATAGTTGTGACTGCCTTTCAGTAAAGATCCTAAGAAAAAAACATTTGGGCAACTTCTGAAATTAATCTATGAACTGCAAAACAATTAAGTTAGATCAACATAGTTCTGCCAAAATCTAAAGCAAGCATACCAGATAAAAAGTCTCTGAAATGTTTGCCTTTCAATTTAAAAGATTTGCTAACTCAATTAAGTCTTGTCCACAATTCAACTACTTGTGTATATATACTTGCAATTAGGGAGCATGGCAATTTTATGATCCTCATCAGCTCATCTTTAAAAAAAAACGTATTTTTCCTACTTTAGTTCAAGGAAGAGCTTATAACCAGCCAAGCCCAAGTTCATCAAAATTGTTTTTCTGCTGATAGGATATTTTGTACATAGGCAGTAATTGGTCTACATAAATAATGATGTGAATTTTTCTTGTCATGGTTCTAAATGGAAAACATTATGAGTTGAGACGAAGGATACAGACTGTGATAACAGTTTTCTTGTCATGGTTCAATACTGCGTGCTTTCACTTTATACTTGTGATGATGATATTCATTTTTTTCAGCTTTGCAGTTGATGATGATTATGAGCGAAACGGCAATGCTACGTTGGATGATGAACTTACTGCAAGGCGCTGCAAAATTTCACAAGGTTGGGTTCAGTTCCAATGCTAAAAAAAGTGAGCTTCTAAATAATCTATTGGTTACTGTTAGTAATATGGAGTCTCGTGTTATTATCCTCCATACTGGAATCTGGACTCAAGCTTCTTTCACTTGCTAATGGAACAAATATGATGGGCAACAGCAGCTTCTTTCACTTGCTAATGGAACAAATATGATGGGCAACAGCTATGTATGGATTGCAACTGATTGGCTTTCTACTTATCTTGAAAGTTTGTATGACTTCTGTGTTGCATTGTGTTCAGGTTCAGAATTATATTATCTATAAGTAGGTATGTAATTGTATGATTTTGTGTATTAAAATCAAAAGACATACATATAAAGAAATGATTCTTTTTTCCAAATTTAGTGAACTACTAATATCATCTTATAAATTGTGTGATGCCTACACAACTTTACGCCTTTGAGTCTCCTCTATTACTGAATGTGGTGATATGATGATCTTTTTCCATGTTTGGCATCATGGGCCTGTTGTACAGTCTTGTAAGTGTCCCATTTGTTGTTGTCTTACAAATCTATGGTGCTTGCTACTTTATCAGAGCAGGAGGATGATCCACAAGCTCACCGTATTTTAGGAGAGATTCAACACTATAATATAACCATATTTTAGGAGCACCACACAGCCTGACTAAAGGTTGGTACCACTGTCCACGAAAGTTGATGCCTTCACTATACTTTCAAGAATAACCTGTTTTTGTTCAAAAAGATAGGTAAGGCTACAACTATTCAGAAACGAAACCTACATCCGATGGCATGTTCCATGGCAACAGATCCACTAAGGTTTGTGTGTAGCCATGTTTACTAGGTTTATGAATTTTCTGTTAGGTTGATTTTGTGCTTATGAAGTTCATACCATGTTCGAAAAAAAAAACTGCAATTACTAAAATTCTGTTAAGATGCAGCATGTGGTGTTCATGTGATGTCTTTAGTGCTATCGAAGTGGCACCATGGCGGCAGATGAAGACCTTGACCACTATCATACAGTTACGGTAAGGTAGAAGCATGGCAAGCCATCTCTATGCCCAGGCCAGGTTCTCTGGTGGTCACAAACTCACAATGGCTATTCAATGTTTGTGCTCTTAGTGATCACACCTGCATGACATGGTACTCAGCCTTTAGTGCCCTCGAGATGTTTGATAAAATGGTATAAAATGGACTTATATGGTGGCTGAAATACGTAATTAGGAGTGCAAAGTCAACTGTATGGATATCTGAACCTTTGTATTATTTCAAATATTATGATGTTTTTTGGCAAATAATGTCTTTTGGCTATTATACTATTTTTTTTCTTACTCTTATTGTGTTGAATTTGCATTAAAAATTTTATGGTTCTCGTAGCAACGCACGGGCATCCGGTAGAATCAGATTAAATGAGAGAAGCCAAACCACACCAGCTAGCCTAACTCCACAAAGTGACCATATTTGTGCTCCTGTGCTTGTGGGCGAACTACAATTCTACTACAGATTAAGGCATGGACCTGTAGCCACTAGCCACAAGGCTGCATCTAATTGCTCTAGTAAGAAAAAAAAGGAATAAGGGTGCATACATACAATGCAGTCTAAGTTCAAGAAGAAAACCGTAGAAGTGTATAGCACCAACCTGTTTTGAGCTCCACCTCTGAATATGCAACCTGCTGAAGCACGTACGGTTCAGAAGGAAGTGCTATGGATTTATTACTCGACCCCTGCACTGACATGTCACTGCTGAGCGAACCACCTAACGCCGTCTTGATATCTTTCTCAAAAATCGACCAGACGCCCTTGGTTTCGGATTCATGCTCGAGCAAGCACACTTTCTTTGTCCGATTGAGAAGCAGAACAGCGACCTTGGAGATGGGCCACATGATCATCTCGGGGGAGTCCTTGGTGGGGTCGAGCGCCTCGGCAATGTCACAGGCGTCGATGATTGCCTTGTCAGTAACCGAGAGCCCTGCCCCTACTCCGTTGCCAAGGTTCTGGACCTGGTTCAGGTACATGAGCAGATTTTTGTTGCTGACGGTGAGGGAGGCAGACATGCAGAACCGATCGGGGCTGGCAAATTCGAGCTGCGGGAACTGCTTCCGGTGGTAGTAGTTGTACAGGAGAACCGTCGCATGGACCTGCGCAACCACAAAACCACATCCATGGCGGCGTAGTGAGGTAATCGCAGACGAGTTACTGGAAAAACAAAAGCGAATTCCGAAAGCCCCAAGCACGAAACAAATAAGCCGCAATAAGCTCCATGATGGCGCCGCGAGGAAAGCTGCAGCTCGGCAATTACACGAAAAAAAAAAGTGTGTGATCAACACAGCACTAAGCGGAACAATGTAACGGATCAGCCTGTAGAAGCCGCGAATTCCGAATGCCCCAAGCACGTAGCACGCCGTGCGACCCAAATCCACCACCGGAACGAATCGCACGGGGAGGAGGGGCAAGCGCCATGCTCCGTTCCTCAACCCCGATCGACCCTCCAGGAAACCCCACCGCAACCGCGCCACAACCCGCGAAAAGGAGCAATGGGTCAAGCACAAGCTTCCTCACCTGACGCGTAACGGCTTCCTGAGTCTCAGGCGACAGGGCCTCCTCCTTTTCGACCTGGCCGCGCGGCAGCACCGGCACCACGAGGTGCTCCACCAGCTGCTCCACCGCGTCCTCCAGCTGCACCACCTCCTCGCTGCCACTGGCGCCGCCGCCTTGTTCCTCCATCACCGGAACCCAAGCAGCGTCCCGCGCCGCCTCTAGGGTTTTGCGCCGCCGGGGCTGGGGGTTTTCTTGGGAAGGGCAGGGGGCGGCCGTTGTTCCGACGAGAGCTGGGACTGGGATGGCAGGAAATGGAAGGCGAGGCGCGATCGTGCAGGCTGGGAGCCGTGGGGCTGAAAAGGAAAACGGTGGGCGTGCGGAGAGCGCAGGGGGGGCGAGATCTGCCGTCCAACACGGGACCTGGTGGATCGGGGCCGTCCGAGGCGGCGTCAACGAGGTGTTGGCCGCGGTGTTTTGATCTTTAGGATTAAACTTTAGTCTTTTTTACGTCGAATGTTTTGATATTTATTAGGAGTATTAAATATAGATTAATTATAAGACTAAATGAAAGCTAATTCGTGAGACTAATCTATTAAGTCTAATTAGTCCATGATCAGTGAATGTGATGCTAAAATAAACATATGCTAATCATAGATTAATTAGGTCTAATAAATTTGTATCGCGAATTAGTCATGACTTATGCAATTAGTTTTATAATTAGTTCATGTTTAGTCCTCCTAGGTGATATCCAAACATCAACTTTAGTCCATAGATCAAACACCCCAAGTTAAGTTCGTTCTGAAGTTCCGCGGATATGGTGTAGGCTATTTTTGGAATTTTAGAATAAAATTGAGCTCCATCAAATGTGCTATATGGTTTCTTAAAATAGCAAACAGGCTATTCCTGCAATTTCGGCAGTGGCCATAGAAAGCAAGCACGCCATCTGCAGAAATCGCTCGTCACGTCAGCGCGCGCCTGTGCATGCGAGATCCTTCCCGCGCTGCCATGCACCAGAGATTCTTCCCGTGCCCGCTGAACATTCCTGTCGGGGACCTAATACCGGGGTACCCCAGAAGGTGAAACTAATAACCACCGAACGTTAAAAATTTTTGGACGCATAAGAGCGTTGCTTCACCCCTCACGGGAATGACAGGAGCTTGGTTCCACCTCGCCCAACGCCTTTGGGTGGGCTCGGTCTCGCCCGAGGGCCCAGGGCTAGTCTCCGTCTCGCCCGACGCCTTTAGGGCGGGCTCGGTCTCGCCCGAGGGCTGAGGGATAGACTCCGCCTCGCCCAGGAGATAGGGATTGGTCTTCGCTTCGCCCGACGGCAAGGAACAAGCCTCACTCTGCTCCATATCTAAAGATTGGATTCATCTTACCTGATCACTTCTCCCTGTTCCTTCAAGATGATAGAGACAGGGCAAGACATGACGTTCAGGTCAACCGTGGCTCCAAGAGCCATACCCTGCACCCTGGCAGGAAAAGTACTGCCAGGGGATGACGGGACGGGCGCTTTAGGCCCTTCCAGGCGCCGTAGAGCCCGAAAGGTGTCACAGGTGCGAGCTCTCCACCCTGTAGAGTTGTAGGCGCCGCCTTCAGCTCTGGGACACGGAACCCGACGAAGATATACGACAACCACTACGCTCCAGAAAAGGATTTGCTATCTCCACGAACGACGGATATTCTGTCACCACGCGGTGGACCCAAGGGAGCGGCGCCCGCTTCCCGACCCCTTAGGTCCACCAAGACAGAAGACCTTGGCCACAGCGCTACTCCAGACCCCGACCCCGCATCCCTCCGACGAAGACTCATAGGAACCAGAAGGCGTGCGGAGCAAGGCTGGGGGAGGCTCAAAAGTCAAAACCACTGTACTGCGGCCCATACCCTGTGCAGGGTAGCGTTCTGTAACCAACCTGACATTCTACAGGGACATCGACAGTATTGTAGGCGCTTATCTTCCTTTGCACTCATCAGAATGAAGGACCAGGTCAGGTAGACGTGAGCCACAAGACTAAGTAGAGTACGCATCCTAAAGCCCTCACCCTTATAAAACCAGCCCCTTCATCTATAAAAGGGGATGCGTTCCTCCATAATGGAAGGAGAAGAAAGAGATCGAACGAGACGACTCTCAGATACGCATAGTCAAGTTGTGTCGAACCTCTTGACATCCCTTCAACCCTTCCATCAGAGACTTGGGACCAGTCCGTCTCTCGATCGTTTGTACCCCTTACTGCAAACCGTTCACGGTGCTAATAACACAAGCAGCAACAAACTGGACGTAGGGACTTTCGGCCCGAACCAGTATAAATCTTGTGTCCTTTAGCGCACCATCCGAGCCTAACGCGCATTACTATAAATTTACTTGCCGGTGCTTGTACGAAACACTGACAGTTGGCGCGCCAGGTAGGGGGCTTGCGCATTCCAAATCAGGCCTCGGATGGCCACCCACGCAATCACCTGGGTCCCGGGCGCACACGTGCGTTTCGGCGACCTAGATTTCATCATCACACTAGAAGGAGAGTTGGCGCTGACTCACTCTGCCGCCCCATCTCTTCCTTCCATCAACCTCAGCCGTCTTAGGCTTGAGGGCCCGCCGGGCAACTCCCTAGGAGTCCGGTCACCAAGGGAGGTCTCGCACAACGTCACCCTATGTCCAGAAGGTCCCGTACGGAGCGCCTCGACAGCGTTTCCGTTCGGTCTCCGCAACGCTGCGGCAACCGCTAGCCACCTTCTGGCGCTACGGATGGTTCAGTCACCCACGAACATCGAGTTCGTGGGGGCGATTGAACATGATACGGAGACCCTCTACGGGCTCCTCAACGAGGAGCCGGGATCGTTCTCTAGCTTGGATTCCAGTAGGGAGAGTCACCACCCTTCTCGGGAGTGCTTCATGACGCAGACCCCCGAAGGTCACGTCGAAAGCGCCTTCAGGGAAGAGGTCACCCCTACAAACAACCCTGATAGCAGATCCGGGGAAGAGACGATAGCTCCATCTCGCCTAAGGATGGAGCAGCTGAAGGCCCATCAGCAGGAGATCGATGAGGCCGGGCAAGGGCTCGTCCGGGAGTACGCGGACATCAATCGCGAGATTGAACGCCGCAAAGACGAGGGGCGCGCGCGCACCACGGCCCGCACCGTACATTAGAGGATCCTCACCGACGATGGGGCCCTTCCTCACTTTGCCCAAGCCAGCCAGAACATCGCCGCAGCAACCGCCTTGCTGCATGGCCTTCCAGAGGCCGCGACGTCCGAGGATCGCCGCGCTCACCGGGAGATTCACTTGTTGCTCGAGCGAGCAGCGGCGCAGCAGGCAGAAAGTTCGTTGTCTCGACGACGCGAACCCGACACCAGCCAGCGCGCGCCCTCGGTGCGTCCCACCAAGGACGCATCCATACACCAAACACCGCCAGCCGGCGGGCAGCCCTCCGTCGTCCCAGTACATCAACGCCTCGGCCATGGCCGCGACATACGCAGCATCATCAATGCTCGAAGACGCGCCCACGGCAACAATGGAGAAGCAGCACGCTGCGGCTATCATCCCCGACGTGGTGAGCGCTACGACAGCAACGAGGACCGAAGCCCGAGCCCCGGCCTGCTAGGCCCTCAGGCCTTCGCCCGACACATCCTCAACGCTACGTTCCCCCTAAGGTATCGACCGCCTACCAACATCCCTAAATATTCCGGCGAAACAAATCCCGGGCTTTGGCTCGAAGACTATCGGCTTGCATGTCAGGCCGGTGGTGCGAGCGATGACAACTTCATTATTCGCAATCTCCCACTGTTCTTGGCTGATTCGGCGCGAGCATGGCTGGAGCACCTACCGTCCAATGCTATTCAGAGTTGGGCGGATCTGATGGAGATCTTCGTGGGTAACTTCCAGGGCACGTACAAACGCCCTGAAAACCCATGGGACCCCAAAAACTGCCGCTAGAAGGCCAATGAAACCCTTCGCGGGTACATTCGGCGCTTCTCTCGATAGTGCAACGAGCTCCAGAACATCGCCGACGTCGACGTGATAGGAGCCTTTCTGTCCGGGATGACCTGCGAATCCCTGGTCCACAAGCTGGGACGCAGGGGCCCGCGGACTACCAAGGAACTCCTGGACATCGCCACCAGTCATGCCTCTAGAGAGGAAGCGGTCGGAGCCATCTTCGACCGCACCGATGGCAAGGCGAGGCGGGACGAGGCCGCCGACGAAGACACCTCCGACCGTCCCACCAAGAGAAAAAATAAGAAGCAACAACGCGACAACCCGCTCGTGTCCACAGCCGACCGCAAACGTGGCCGAAAGCCTGCGGAAGGCACTCCGAACCACTTCGAGAAAATGCTCGAGGGGCCATGCCCAAACCATGCCTTCCCGGCCAAGCATCTATACAAGGAGTGCGGCCTCATGCGCAAATACTTGGCCGGGGGACTTAACAAAGGGGAGCAGGGGAAGGAACCTGTTCCCACCATAGAGGACGCAGAGGAGAAAGACGACGCCTTCCCAACGCCGACCAGTGCCCTTATGATCTTCGGAGGATCAACGGCCTACGACTCCAGGCACCGCCAGAAGGTCGTCCGTCGCGAGGTTTATATCACCGGACCGGCCACGCCAGCCTTCCTCTGGTGGTCGGAATCCACCATCACCTTCGACCGAACCGACCATTCGGATGCCGTCCCACACCCGAGAAGGTACCCGCTTGTCGTTGATCCGATCGTCGGTCCAAAGCGGCTCACCAAAGTATTGATGGATGGGGGCAGCGGCCTCAACATCATGTACGCCAAAACGCTCGATGAAATGGGCGTCGATCGAACAAACCTCCGTCCCATCCGAGCACCATTCCATGGCGTCGTGCCTGGTAGGCAAGCCGTACCACTGGGGCAGATCGACCTGCCCGTCACTTTTGGGGATCGGTCCAATTACCGGACTGAGATCCTCACCTTCGATGTAGTGGGGTTCCCGGGGACTTTCCACGCCATCCTGGGGCGACCATGTTACGCGAAGTTCATGGCCGTTCCCAATTATACATACCTAAAGCTGAAAATGCCGGGCCCTCACGGGGTCATCACCATCGGCACCTCTTTCCAGCGCGCTTACAAATGCAAGGTCGAATGCTGCGGACACGCATCCGCAGTCATCGCCTCCGAAGAGCTCGCCACCCTCAGGGAGAAGGTCATCGAAGAGGCACCCGATGCAAAGAAAT